TGCCCAGACTAAGTCATTGTCAAGAATATTCCTCATTTTCTTAAAGTGAACTGCCCAGTTATTACATTATTAGCTGGATTACATAATCCTAAACGCATCGTCGCAGACAATAGCGACCATCTTCTTCGCTGCAACAACTAAAAATTCACTTCCATTTTCCCATTCTCCATCATCAAACCAAACCATTCAATCTAACCTTCAGTTTATTTTTGTGAGCTATAATCCATTCATTTTCCTTCTGCAACTAAGCTCCATCTACACCTACCTAGCTAGTTTGCTATAATTAATATATGGCTTCTCATACTACAACGGCATTGCCGCCTTATCATGTTTGCTTCTTCTTCTCTCTTCATCGCAATGCCAAGGGCAACTCTCCCCTACATTTTACGACAAGACATGCCCCAATGCTCTCAACATCATTCGCACTGTTGTAAGGCAAGCAGTGTCTCGTGAGCGCCGCATGGCTGCTTCCCTTGTTCGTCTCCATTTCCACGACTGCTTTGTCCAGGGTTGGACGCTTCCATCTTACTGGACGAGTCACCAACCATTGAGAGCGAAAAGACGGCGTTGCCCAACCTTGGCTCTGCCAGGGATTACGACGTGATAGAGGCTGCGAAATGCGAGCTGGAGAAAGCTTGTCTCGGTATTGTGTCTTGTGCTGATATATTGTCGGTGGCTGCACGTGATGCCTCTGCTGCTGTGGGAGGTCCGTCTTGGACAGTAAAGAAGAGATTCCACCACGGCTAGCCATACTTTTGCTGGCAAATTATTGTATGGACCATGGTCCACATAATGTTATGTAGACCATAACAAAAAGTACATTTCTAATATACTAAATGTACATTATTTTTGTACTGAATGTACATTATTTTATAGTAGACAAAATATGGTCTACACAACTTGTGTGGACCATGGTCCATACAATAATGATTGCCTTAGCTGAAACCGATCTTCCCGGTCCTTTCGACAATCTGGATAAACTCATATCCAGCTTCACTAGCAAAGGCCTTAATACAAGAGACATGGTTGCCTTGTCTGGTGCACATACTCTGGGCCAAGCTCAATGCTTCCTATTTCGCGATAGAATTTATGGTAACGGTACTGACATTGATGCGGGTTTTGCTAGCACTAGAAGACGCCAATGTCCAAAAGACACCGAAAATGGAAATTTGGCAGCACTTGATTTAGTGACCCCAAACTCCTTCGATAACAACTACTACAACGATAACAACTACTACAAGAACCTATTGCAAAAGAAAGGTCTGCTTCAATCGGATCAAGTTCTTTTCAGTGGTGGAGCAACAGACAACATTGTTTCAGAGTATGCTAGCAGCCCACAGGCATTTCAAGCATATTTCACTTTAGCCATGATTAAAATGTCTGAAATTCAACCCCTCACGGGTCAAAATGAAATCATTAGGAAGGTGTGTGGTGCTTTGAACTAGCTTCGTTTAGCTACTGCGTACTACATACTTTCTCAATCTTCGGCAGTGTTGTTTTTTCTAGAATATTTAATTAATAATTTAGTTTTCCACTCTCATCAATTTCATTGTATTTTTTTCTTCATAACCTTTGATTTGTTATTTAGAAATTTAGAAAAATGTAATAATATAATTTGTTGTATTCTATTAGGCCCTACAAAGTGTGATTATAATAAATTTTTCATTATATATCTGTCAGATTTTGAACATATATATCATTCCAACTTACACAACTGTAAGATGAAATCTAAGATTAAAATATAGTATCAATTGCCTTGATTTTTTGCTTTGTTTTTTTGTCTTTTTTTTTTTAATATTGTTAAAACTTGTATTTCTATTATAGGATTAGATATATATAACCAAACATCAACATTGGTAATTATTCCAATTCCATGCACCCTACTACCAGACATACAAAATACTTTCACAAAAATTCATAAACATTACAAATATTATTGATTCTGATTCCAATCGCGATACTCTTGTGCGAATCAAACACACTATCGTCATCAATTAATGCACCCCTTCAAGCCAACTACACATTTGTCTAAAGTCTAGTGAAATCATGACCAATTAGAGTTTTTTGCACTTTTGGTCCCACGACTATAGTGGCACTAGCAGAATTGATCCACGACTTTTGAACCTTGCAATTTTAGACCACGACTATTGATTTTTTTGCAAAAATGGTCCTTCCGGCCACTTTTCCGTTTTTAGCCGGGTTAAAATTGACATTTTACTTTTTCGATGTATTCGGATGATCTGGCAGACGTGCTGGCTCCGCCTCCAATGCTGCTGCCGGATAACCCAACTAGCCCGGGGAACGCCACGGCCGCTCCGCCGCTTACTGACAGCCCTGCTTGCTCCAGGAACTCCACCGCCTGGGGCAGTAGTATGTAGCCCAGTAATATTGTATGTAGTCAAATATCAATTTTTTTCTTTTAATTTTTTTAGATAAGTAAAATGTCAATTTTAACTTGCCTAAAAATGGAGAATTTTTTTTCCGGTGAAATTTTGACGGAAAAGTGGCCGGAAGGACAATTTTTGCAAAAAAAAATCAATAGTCGTGGACTAAAATCGCAAGGTTCAAAAGCCGTGGATCAATTCTGCCAATGCCACTATAGTCGTGGGACCAAAAGTGCAAAAAACTCTGACCAATTAGGTATCCCAAACTAATCCACCGCTAAATATATCACTAGATATTTTTAGAATTGAATTCTTATTTGATAAAAATTTTATTCATTCTTAGGGTGTGTTTGGTTCATGGGTTTAGCTATCAGGAATAAGAATTAAAGTGATTGTTATTGTTTAGTGAGTTAATTCCACCAAAGGCCCTTTGTCTTTGGTGGCAATTTCAAATTTAGTCCGAGACTATAGTTTTTGTCATTTAACATCCCTAGACTATTATTTTTTGAACATTTTTAGTCATTCTCAAGACTTTTTCTATTTTTAGTAAGGGCATTTTTATCCCTTTATATTTTTCTTTTGTTATTTTTCTGGTTTCAACCGGTTTAATTGATTTAGGACTAAAAACTGGTTGAAAAATATTATTACTAAAAATCAGAGGTTACCTGAAGTTATAAACCAATTAAACCAGTTGAAACCGGAAAAATAATAAAACAAAAATATGAAAAGAAAAAAATGTTTTTACTAAAAATGTAAAACATTTCCAACAAATTTGTTCAAATTAAATATTAAACCTTTCCAAAATGAAACTCAACACAACATCATTCTCACATTCTCCAAATCATCATCATTATCTCTCCAAATAAATCGGGGTCTTATATTGTGGAACGCCATTCTTTGCATACGCATTCACATCGGATCACAGCTTTTACCTCCAACTTCAAAAGAATCTGGCGAATCATCTCAATTGGTATGTCATGTTCGATCGATATGAATATATGATATATGTATACGCTACAGTGAATTGAATGAGATAGAAGCGGAGAGGCCGGAGTGTCGAGGCTGCGACATATCTTTTTTAGGGTGAATTATATATATATATATATATATATATATATATTGTGGGCCTTGGTGCACAATATAAGGATTGGTTGACACACATCTTATCTCATATTTATTTATGATATGTTTTCAAGGCAGGCTTCAACAATAAAGACTATGTTTGACAAATCTAGCTGAATGCTAAAAACGAGCTGAAAGCTGAAAAGCTATAAGCTAAGAGCTAAAAACTAAAGAGCAGTTAAACAAGCTATTATGTTTGGTAAAATTAACTTTTTGATAAGCTGACAAATGTAAAAAGATTAAAAAAAAAAAAGACATCTTCATAAAATTTAAATTAGTTTGCTTACATATTAAAATTTAACATTTTGTCTTTAAAAAAATTAACATTTTAAAATAAAACTATTAGCATAATTATGATCTAGCATCCCATAATAATATATAATAATAATAATTTTATTTCAAAATGTTACTTTTTTTTAAAGACAAAATGTTAAATTTTAATATGTAAATAAACTAATTTAAATTTTATGAAGATGTCCCTTTTTGTCTTTTTACATTTATCAGCTTATCAAAAAGCTAATTTACCAAATACTTTCAAGCATAACAGTTACAAAATGTTAAATTTTAATATGTAAATAAACTAATTTAAATTTTATGAAGATGTCCTTTTTCGTCTTTTTACATTTATCAACTTATCAAAAATCTAATTTTACCAAATACTTTCAAACATAACAGTTCTTTAGTTTTCAGCTCCTAACTTATAGCTTTTAGCTTCTTTTAAGCTTTCATCTACAAAAACACCTTTTCAGCTAGGTTTGTCAAACATAGCCTAAATCATTCTAAAACAACCCTCAACAAACTGTCATTCTCTAGGGGTTTGTGCTAATCATCATCTCTCCAAATAAATTCATGTGGCGAAACAATACTTTGAACATATGGCTTATGCCTTAGCTTGTTTCTTCTAAGATATTGAGGTCTAGTTTGTTATTCTTCACATCATAGACTAATATTTTCCACGGACCATACTCACGTTCAAGTCCATATTAATACTTTGGTATTGCATTTGGAAGAGTGTAATGCAATGTTACTATAATCACAGATGAATTCACCGGCGGGGGACGACAAACTCACTGACCCACCAGAATTCCTCCATTATTCTATCGAGTCAGGGAACGAGAAAATTTCATCATTTATGAGCAAGATTTACATTATAATTAAGATATGTTTTAAATGAGCAATGATTATTATCTTTTATAAGTGATTCCAGTCATATGTTACCATAATTATCAAAAGTTATGAAATATAAGTTTGAACACATGTCTTGAATCTTTCAGGAATAAAGTGTTCGTGTTGTTTCTTTCTAGATCATAAACCAATACTTCTTCTGATCATGACTCCATAATCCAATAAATTTATATATAAGATCAGATCATAAAAAATTCGAAACATTTCGAGTTATCAATTCAATGATGAAATCTTGACTGGCCTAACACACTAATTAACTTCTAGCAACTCCAATAGTATCAACTAACCCAATATTCATTAGGACACGTATTAATTAATAAAACTCTCAACATAGAAACACATACCACCAAAGTAGTCATAACCTGAGTTCTGTTCTAGAAAGTCAATCCGCACTTCCTTCAGTTCGTCTTTTCTCCGATCATAAACATATACTTTTCCCCAGAAGTAATAATCTGTAATACGCAGAAATAATACTTCTTGTGCATTGTTTTTTTGAGAATAGAATGTTAAGTAATAACCCATACAAGTATATGGAGATTGAGGCATTTGGATAGCAAATGCAGTCATCCATGATTCTTGTATGCCATATTCCTTCATAATCAATACTTGCATTGTTTGAGTTTTGAATGTTTCCGCTTTGTGAACAATGCATGCCATGGATAAACAGTCATCTATAACCCCCAACCCGACTATGGAGAATTTTTTTCTCAGTTCAGGAGTGGGCAAGATTCTGAATTCATCACGCACAGGATCAAAATATAGAATCATATTCCTATCACCATCCCAATCTTTGATGTCCCAATCCCAATCTTTGATGTCACTTGCCCACCAGTGAAATGTATTGCGAAACTCCACGCTGCCTCTAGCAGACTTCAAGTCATAAGGGAACTGCATTGGTCGCCACTCTTTGTGGTTGAGGCTTGCAGATATCACAAATGGATAGCCAAATTCAAACCGCGGCTGTGTTATGGAGCGAATTAATAGGACAACCTTGTAATCTCTAGTGCAGGGATCGTAGCATAACCCTCCAAGAATAACCAATTTTAACTCATCCGGGTATGGCAACTTGAGCACTTTCGTCAAACACCTGGTGGACGGGTTCCACAACACAATTTTTCTCCCAGCCCCCAGAAGCACAAACCCGTTGCAAGAACACAAAGGTGTAACACAGTAAACACTTGGAAAAGGAGCCTCTCCAAACGGGCATTTGTGCCTTTGAAGACGAAAATCATGGGTTGTGGATCTAACTAAGAATCTGGAATTCCAGTTAGAATCTCGCAGAGTTTTGGATTCGAGCGAGAGAGTTATGAGTCGTCGTTGTCCACGATACAAGAGCTTGAAATTTGAGTCGTGGTTTATCAAGGAATGCCACTGTTTACATACGCATTGGCACCGAATCACAGCCTTCATCGGCAACTGCAAAAGTATATGCTGAATGATTTCATTAGGTATGTTTGACAATGGAGTTGAAGCTTCCATAGATCGAATAAGAAGCTGAAGGCGTAATGGAAGCTAAGTAGGGTTTAATTATATTAGTGAGACTCCCATCCGAGTTAAATTTTCACCACCAGTCCAAGCGAAAATATAAATAAAATATGTGGCTTAATTTTTTTTTTTTTAAATTCATCATGGCATTTTTAATAATATAACATTGGAGTTAATATCCAAAATCGTCCTCGACTATAGTGGTTTTTCTCAATTTCGTCCTAAATGATTTTGGTGACCTAATATCGTCCCAGACTTTTGTGTTTCGCTCAATTTAGTCCCAGACTTTTGTATTTTTGCTCAATTTAGTTCCTCATTTGTTATTCTGTCCATTTGGTGTTAAATAAATAGACAATTCAGTAATTTTAATATTGGCATCTCTTTACTCATAGACATGTGAACTGCAAAATCTCTTTTTTTTTTTTTACAAATTACTCCCAGAATTACTCCTAAAACTGTGAATATAAAAATTTATTTGCAGGTCCGGGAGCAATTCTGGGTGTAATTCGTACAAGAAAGAGGAATTTCGCACTTCACAAGTTGAAAGTAAAGAGAGATCAATATTGACATTACTGAATTGTCCCTTTATTTAACACCAATTTGACGGAATAACAAATGGAGGACTAAATTGAGCGAAACACAAAAGTCTGGGACGATATTAGGTCACCAAAGTCGTTTAGGACGAAATTAAGAAAAACCACTATAGTCGAGGATGATTTTGAGTATTAACTCTATAACATTGTAATTGTATCATATAGTTAGTCACTTATTCTGTGTATTTAGTTCTTATATTCCTATGGACGGAATTATTTTGGATAGAAATATAAGAGTTAATACCTTCAATGGTCCTCTGAGTATTAGGCGTTTATCAGTTGTGGTCCTCTGAGTTTTAAATGACCTCCAATAATGATCCTCTATGTTTTAAAAAATAATCACATGTGGTCCTTTTAGGACGTCTCGTGATCCTTTTAAACTCGGATTATTTTAAGAATTAGGACTAGGTCCTCCATGTTTTAAAAAATAACCACTTGTGGTCTTTTTAGAACGTCTCGTGGTCATTTTAAACTTGGACTACTTTAAGAATTAGGACCATGGGTGGTTATTTTTTAAAACACGGAGGAGCATTGGAGGTCATTTAAAACTCGAATGACCATAGCTGGTAAACCCCCAATACTCGGAGAACTATTGGAAGTATTAACTCGAAATATAAACAACACTAATTTAGGAATGATATGATTTTCACTCTTAAAAATATATCTTCAACACGTCTTCTACATTGATTGGTGAGGTAAATTTGGTATAATAAAAATTTGCTTTTAGTGATAGGGTGGGATGCGATTCCTGCCACGAAAATTTGGTTGCTTTTTGCCCTTCCTAGTAGGGATGGCAACGGGGCGGGGTGGGGGCGGGGAGTATACTCCCCGTCCCCGTCCCCGAAACCCGACCCCGTCCCCGTCCCCGTCCCCATCCCCGCCCCGCGGGGTATTTGGCGGGGACGGGGATTCCCCATCCCCGATCAGCTCTTAGTCAAAATCTAAAATTTTTGTAATTTTTAATTTTAAAAAATAAAAACTTAAATCTTAATTTAAAAAAATAATATATATATATATATATATATATATTACATAATGCTACGGTACACAGTAGCAATGCTACTGTATACAGTAGCATTAAGTAATCTATATATACTATTATAACTACAGTAGCATACTAGCATTAAGTAATATATATATACTATTATAACTAAAATAAATAGTATTAGCAATGTACTGTGTACCGTAGCATTATGTAATATATATATATATATATATATATATATATATATATATATATTATTTATTTATTCATTTTAGTTATAATAATTATTCGGGGACGGGGACGGGGCGGGGCGGGGAGGGGTATCCCCGTCCCCGCCGGGAAATTTCAAAAATTCCCCATCCCCGTCCCCAATCCTCGAAAATTTTCCCCGTCCCCTACGGGGCCGGGGATCCCCAACGGGGACGGGGCATATTGCCATCCCTACTTCCTACCATAAAAATTTAGTGTTTGAGTTCCGATGAAACTTCTTGTATGCATAAGTGTGTAGTTTAATTTGGTGTTAGGTCTTGAAAATAGATTGACAATTTACCTCCTATCATAGAGTTGGAAGGGAGTTAATATGGTCCACATTATTGAGTGGCAAAGTGAAAAACCTAAGTTCAAAAAAAAAAAAAAAATACATTGGTGTAATGGGCCTAACTGGTTTTTACTTTCTATATTGACACACTTTCGTGAATCGAAGTTTCACCAATCGTTATGCTATGGATCCGTGTCCAGCATACATTATGGACACGAATTGAAACGACGACGCTTCAATGTAATGTATTAACGGTGTCGTAAGTGGCACCGTTATCTTCCACTAATCATCTTTTTATTTATTTATTTAAATTTCAGAACCCGACTTTCGTCACGATTAAGCATCCATTTTCGTGGGTTTCCTGTCGATCAAGCTTCCATTTCTTCTTCGCAAAAAGCTCGGTTATGAATGTAGAGTTATAACATTATGAACATACAGTTCAGACATTATGAATGTGGAACTCTGTAATTTGCAAATTGTGAATATAGAGTTATAAGATTATGAATGTAGAATTATAACATTATGAACATACAGTTCAGACATTATGAATGTGGAACTCTGCAATTTACAAATTGTGAAAATAGAGATATAAGATTATAAATGTACAGTTATAACATTATGAACATACAGTTCAAACATTATGAATTTACAGTTAGAGAATTATGAATGTACAATTATGGAATTATGAATGTACAGTTATGGGATTATGAATGTATAGTTATGGGATTATGAATGCACAGTTATGGAATTATGAACACAGAGCTCTGCCTGCCAAACAAACGAATAACGCCGTTAACGGCGAAACAAAATTATTATTATTTTTTAATTGGAATGCCGCTATTTTCCCTTAAAACGACGACGTTTTGGACTCGTGTTCACAATGCATGGTACACACGAGTCCACAACATAATTTGCGAAGTTTCACTTTTTGAATCGTCTTTAATATTAAGGGTGGACTATTCGGTTCAATTCAATTTTAATTTGTTACCGAAAATCGAAAGGTAATGAAATTTTAAAATCGAATCGAAAATGGAGCAATAATGATCATAATTGGTTGCGATAATTATAGGAAATGGTTTAGCAGTAACTTCGAAACTTACACATCTGTATGTAGTGGAGCATTATTGGCTTCACAGATTCAGAATATAATGGCTGTCATTTACCTATGCCTTATGCCTAAAGGCTTGGGTTTGGGTTTCCATATTTTTTATAGTTGGTCAGATTAATTATATGCTAGACTTCATAAACTTAATTGACCCAAACAAATTGTACACATAACTTTGCTTTGAGGCTTAACAACAAATTGTGTACAAAAAGTTTAATTCAAACACATTAATGACAGGAATGGAACTTTAAATGATTCCTGATTGGAGACTTCACTACTACAAATAAGGCCTTTAACGTCGGTTTTCATTCGACGTCGTCCTTCTAGACATAGTACATAACTGATACAACGTTGGTTAAAAAACCGACGTCGTATATTTTTTTTTTTTAATTTAAAAAATTAACATACGACGTCGGCTATTTGTATAAAGCCGACGTCGTATTAATTTTTTTAAAAATAATATGCCACTTACGACGTCGGTTTATACAAATAACCAACGTCGTAAGTGGCATATTTGTTTATAAAAATAATACGTCGGTCTTTCGTAACAAACCGACGTTGTAAGTTAATTATTATTATTTTTAATTATTAAGACACGTGTCTGGTTCGCGCATCTACTGGGCGAGTAAATTTAATATTTTTTCTTGAATTTTTTTGACTCCAACAAAACAATCATTGCATCCGATAACATCATCATTAGCCGACATATCAAAAGCACCAAAATAATGGACCAAATTAATTAACTAATTTTGCAATTACAAAAATTTTCTTCATTATTCACAAATCAAAGATGAATGAAAAATGAGTGAAAGTGATGAGACAAGACCCCATATGGAAAATTTTTGCAAGGAGCAAAATGCAATCGTGAAGAGAGCCTTTGATTTAAAACTAAGTCGGGTTTTTTTTTTTTTTTTGCAAAAATGGTCCTTCCGGCCCATTTTCCGTCAATTTCTCACCGGAGTAAGAACAATTTTGAATCAAAGATCAAAGAAGAATGAATGAAAGTGAGGAGACAAGATCCCAGATGGCCAATTTTTGCAAGGAACGAAATGCAATCGTGAAGAGAGCAAATGATATATCCAATCTTTGCACCGCAAATGTTGTTATCATCATATGTACAATCGTTATGCTGTGGATATTAGACTATGTTATTATTATGTATTTAATTATGTACATTCTGTTAGTGATCTAGTCTCTAGCCTATTAGATAGCCCTCTCTCTCTGAGTGTATTAATGTGCCATATCACTACACCGACACTGTGGTGTGATAATCTGGGTGCTACCTACCTATGTGCGAATCCGGTTTTTCATGCTCGCACCAAGCATGTTGAGGTTGACTACCACTTTGTCCGGGACAAAGTCTCGGCTGGTAAGTTCCAGGTTCATTTTGTGTCTACCAAGGATCAACTTGCAGATATCTTCACCAAACCGCTACCAGCAGCACGGTTCACCGCTCTTCGTGACAAGCTCAATGTGGTTCCTTACCTACCTTGTGCTTGAGGGGGAGTATTAGACTATGTTATTATTATGTATTTAATTATGTAGGTTCTGTTAGTGATCTAGTCTCTAGTCTATTAGATAGTTCTCTCTCTCTGAGTGTATTAATGTTATCACAATTCCGTAACTGAATGAATTATCGCTTCCATTCTCATCGTGGAACCGTGTCCACCTTGCAAGGTGGACACAGTTCTATATTCATAATTACTGAACTATATGTTCATAATTATAAAGCTATATATTCATAATTTTTTAACTTCATATGCAAACAAAATACAACCACATAATTGTAGCTTTAATTCCCAAGAAACTCTAAAGCTGTTGTTGTCAATCTAGCTTGATGAATGATAGATTTCAAGAAGTTAGGATCCCCACTTTTTTAAGAACATATATAGTCCGTCAAAAGAATGAATATATAACCATACGGCTAGAAGGTCAATTAAGAACGTGCAGCGTACCCACATTTGAATCTATGGCCGGAATCAAGATTTGTTGCCAGTACAGTGGTTGATCTCAATTCGAGCAGCTTATATATATATATATATTACACACCAACATACATACATGTTGTTCTCGAATTGAAAGACCAGGCCGGGGCCATCTTCAATATGTGCTTCAATTCTTTCAAGTTAAAGATCGAACTCGATCAAAATGGAAAAGATTTTCACGTACCTCAGCGATTCCAACTCCATGCCAGCTGCCATAACGTTATTGTGTATTCACTTCCACTGCCAGAAGAAGTGATCGAACCCGGCCTGATCTAATGACAGGGAAATTAAAGGACCCTAGATCAGAGTATATGACTTGATATTCATCAATTTTATTTTCTAAACAGTTATTATTAATATAATCATATTTACACTAGAATATAATTAATATTATATTATCATTCCTATTCCTTATCTTATACATTAGGATTAGGAGTATTTGCATACCTATTTAATAGCCCAGCAGCGCCTCTACATCTTTAACAATTCATCCCTGCCTGCAACATCATATCGAATCTATATATAAATATTCACTTCCACTTTCCCATTCTCAATCATCATACCAACCGTACCCAATCTTTACCATTAAATTTCTCTATCTATAATATATACATATGGCTTCTCATATATATACTACAGCTTTATCATGTTTGCTTCTTACTGCTCTCCTCCTTCTCGCACTTATCGCAAAGCCAAGCGTGTCCCCAACCAGTCTAGCAAAAAGACGGTGTTGCCAAACCTTGCCTCTGCCAGGGGTTACGACGTGATAGAGGCTGCCAAGCACGAGCTAGAGAAAGCTTGTCCCGGTATTGTATCTTGTGCTGATGTATTGTCGGTAGCTGCACGTGATGTCACTGCTGCTGCTGTGGGAGGTCGTCTTGGACAGTGAAGCTGGGAAGAAGAGATTCAACCACAGCTAGTCGTACCATCGATCTCCCCAGCCCTTTTGCAAATCTAGATACACTTATATCCAGCTTCGCTAGCAAAGGCCTTAATAGAAGGGACATGGTTGCCTTGTCTAGTGCACACACCCTCGGCCAAGCTCAATGCTTCTTATTCCGCGATAGAATTTACGGCAACCGTACTGACACTGATGCCGGTTTTGCTACCACTAGAAGACGCCGATGTCCTAAAGACATCGGAAATGGAAATTTGGCACCACTTGATTTAGTGACCCCAAACTCCTTTGATAACAACTATTACAAGAACCTGTTGCAAAAGAAGGGTCTACTTCAATCGGATCAAGTTCTATTTAGCGGTGGAGTAACTGACAATATTGTTTCAGAGTACGCCAAGAACCCTCAGGCATTCCAAGCAGATTTTGCATCAGCCATGATTAAAATGTCTGAAATTCAGCCACTCACAGGTCAAAATGGTATCATTAGGAAGGTCTGCGGTGCTTTGAACTAGCTTCATTTCTTCAATATGTTGTGCTTTGATCATCAGGAAGGTCTGTGGGGCTCAAAATGCATGTAATAATTTGTTGTACTAATTTTCATTATATATGAAATGTAAGATTTCCTAGTATATTGTGATGCTTTATTTCTTTTCATTATTAATGAAATGCAAGATTTCCTCATGGGTGCAGTTATTGTTATTTTTTTTTTCTGCATCAAATTGTCTGACAGCAGAGGTTTGTACTAGTTAGTTTATATGGATTATAAATTTATAATATAACAAGCAGCAAATCCAGGAAGCTAAGGCATAGGCTTTGTTTTCCATATTTGTTGTTCCTGAGCCTTGACAGAGCTGTGTTTCTTTACACAACTGATTAGATGAACCAAATTAAAGGCAATTAGCATCAATTTCAGTATCAGATAGATCTTCTACGCATAAACACAATATGAATCTTCAATATTATATTGAACACAGATTTCACATCACTTTCTAAGAGTTTGTTTGCATTAAGAATTGGACTTATTATCTCTGTAATCAGATTCATGGATTGAACTAAGAAGAATTCCCCACCCTCCTGCTCCTTCCTCTTCTTTTGCTTTTCAGTTGGTGGTCTTAAGGCCCTGTTTGGTAAAATGGCTGTTAGCTGATAGCTGTTAGTTGTTAGCTGATTGTGTTAATTAGAGGGTATAAATAGTTGATAACATTAGCTGATTGTAAAAAGTGTTTGGTAAATTAGCTGTTAGCTGATAGCTGTTTGGTATAATTTCTTTTCTCAAAAAGCTAATTGAAAAAGTTGCTTGGAGTAACTTTTTGAATTTTAGCTTTTTGGAGTTGCAAAACGCTAATTAGCCAAACATTTATATTGATATTTTAACTAAATCAAACAATTAATAGTGGTTAAATAAGCCAAAATTGGCCTATAGGCCAATTTTTTACCAAACAGGGCCTTAGTCTTTTAGGTGTGTTCTTGTTATTTGATTCAATTACAAGTCTTGTCAATTCATTGTGTGTGTACTTTGAGGTAACCATTAGATTGTGTGCATTAACATATCTGATTTGATACCATTTCTAATGATGTAGCACTTTACAATGCTATATTTTTGTTATTATTATGAGTTTGAATGTCTTAATATATAATATATTTTTTGGAATTATATAATTCATAATACTCCGTCTTTCTTCATGCATCTGGTTTGAAATGATGGATATGATCATATGAATGGAATATATTGATTATATATATCTGTTCTGTATTAAAATTGAATGAACTTTTTGTCTGCTGTGCTCTGTGATTCAGGGTGGTATTAGTTTATTATGCGCTTATAATGTGTTTTATAAATTTTATGGTTCCCATTTGAAGTTTTGAATTTGCATTATTAGAATTTTGTATTGGCCCTTATATATATATATATATATATATATATATATATATATATATATATAATAGTGTTAGAAAGAATTATTCTTTAAGATCAATTATTTCTGTGCTTGCCTCAAATTCAAATAATTTAGTTTTACTATATTGGAAGAAAATGTTACAGTTCAGCATCTACGTGTTGTCTCTACTCTCAAATGTGAGGCATTGCATATAACTATGTTTAAGTATTCAGAACTATAGGTTCTAGGTATATCCTGTTTATGCATGAGAAGCTTCATTGACTTAGATGATTTTGTGCTTAGTACTGAAAGTGTTCATGATTGGCCGGGCAGATGTAGACTTAGGAGTTAAGAATCCAACTTCTTCGGCTGGTGCAAAGCTTGGCACCTTGCAAGTTTGCATAAATTAAGCTCTTAAAACATATAATGGTGACTTTTATTTGATATAATAATCTTATATAAAGATCTCTATTATGTGATGTACGAAGTTTGTAGTCTGCCATTACATTGTTTGGTAATTAGCCTTTAACGGATTGTTTCAGTACAAGTTATATGCGTAGATCTGCCACTTGAAAACTGCTAAAGTTTTTGTTGTGAAAAATTATTTTCATTCATTGCATTTTTCATGGTGCATTTAGTGTTTAGAATTTTGTAATTTCTTATGCTTCTAGGATGTTTGCCGCTTTTCTTTAAATTTTGGTGCTTCAAGAATTTCTAATTTATAATTAAGGGGTTATTGTGCATAATCATCGTATTAAGTTTACCAAAGTGACTTCTCATCTTCCGTGGCAATAAAAATGGTAAGCGCCCATGGCCTAATGGATAAGACGCTTGACTTCTAATCAAGTGATCAAGTGATTGTGGGTTTGAGTCCCACTGGGCGTGTATTAATTAAATGCATGAATTTAGTGACACCTTAAAAAAAAAAATTGATTTCTTTTGTCGTTAACGGCGTTTGTCTATGTTCATAATTATAGAACTTCATATTCATAATTTTTGAACTCTGGAAGTCTATGTTCATAATTACTGAACTCTATGTTCATAATTTTTTAACTCCATATTCATAATATTTTAACTCTATATTCACAATTATTGAACTCTATGTTCATAATTATAGAACTTTATATTCATAATTTTTAAACTCTATATTCATAATTCTTGAACTCTATATTCACAGTTACGTAACAGTATATTCACAATATTTTATGTCGCTGAATTCTTTTGACAAATTATAAAGAAAAAAAAATCTGATTGGTGGAGGGAAAACGGTGCCACTAACGGCACCATTACTCCCATATTGCAGAACGGCATTGTATTGGACCTGTGTCCACCTTGCAATTAACTTTACCAAACTGACTTCTCATCTTCCGTGGCAATAAAAATGATAAGCGCCCATGGCCTAATGAATAAGGTGCTTGACTTCTAATCAAGCGATTGTGGGTTCGAGTCCCACTGGGTGTGTATTAAAAAGAAACACATTGCAAAACGACATGAAAAATTGCTTTCTTTTGCCGTTAACGGTGTTTGTCTATGTTCAAAATTATAGAACTTCATATTCATAATTTTTGAACTCTAAAAGTCTATGTTCATAATTACTGAAGTCTATGTTCGTAATTTTTTAACTCCATATTCATAATTTTTAACTCTATATTCAATATTATTGAACTCTATGTTCATAATTATAGAACTTTATGTTCATAATTTTTAAACTCTATATTCGTAATTCTTGAACTCTATATTCACAACTACAGAACTCTATATTCACAGTTACGTAACAGTATATTCACAATTTTTTATGTCGCTGAATTCTTTTGACAAATTTCAAAGAAAAAAAAATCTGATTGGTGGAGGGAAAACGGTGCCACTAACGGCACCATTACTCCCATATTGTAAAACGGCATCATATTTGACATGTGTCCACCTTGCAATTAACTTTACCAAAGTGACTTCTCATCTTCCGTGGCAATAACAATTGTAAGCGCCCATGGCCTAATGGATAAGGCGCTTGACTTCTAATCAAGCGATTGTGGGTTCGAGTCCCACTGGGCGTGTATTAAGTAAAAGATAAATTACATGCATGAATTTAGTTCAATGACTTAGTCAGTGGTAGTGTGACATTTGAATCAATGATTATTATCTGTTGAGTCGAGATGACATCTTGCAAACATTTGAATCAATGATTATTATCTGTTGAGTCGAGATGACATCTTGCAAAATGACGTGAAAAATTGCTTTCTTTTGCCGTTAACGGTGTTTGTCTATGTTCATAGTTATAGAACTTCATATTCATAATTTTTGAACTCTAAAAGTCTATGTTCATAATTACTTAACTCTATGTTCGTAATTTTTTAACTCCATATTCATAATTTTTAACTCTATATTCACAATTATTGAACTCTATGTTCATAATTATAGAACTTTATGTTCATAATTTTTAAACTCTATATTCATAATTCTTGAACTCTATATTCACAACTGCAGAACTCTATATTCACAGTTACGTAACAGTATATTCACAATTTTTTATGTCGCTGAATTCTTTTGACAAATTTTAAAGAAAAAAAAAATATGATTGGTGGAGGGAAAACGGTGCCACTAACGGCACCATTACTCCCATATTGTAGAACGGCATCGTATTTGACACGTGTCTACCTTGCAATTAACTTTACCAAAGTGACTTCTCATCTTCCGTGGCAACAACAATTGTAAGCGCCCATGGCCTAATGGATAAGGCGCTTGACTTCTAATCAAGTAATTGTGGGTTCGAGTCCCAAAGATAAATTACATGCATGAATTTAGTTCAATGACTTAGTCAGTGGTAGTGTGACATTTGAATCAATGATTATTATCTGTTGAGTCGAGATGACATCTTGCAAAATGACGTGAAAAATTTCTTTCTTTTGCCGTTAACGGTGTTTGTCTATGTTCATAGTTATAGAACTTCATATTCATAATTTTTGAACTCTAAAAGTCTATGTTCATAATTACTGAACTCTATGTTCGTAATTTTTTAACTCAATATTCATAATTTTTTAACTCTATATTCACAATTATTGAACTCTATGTTCATAATTATAGAACTTTATGTTCATAGTTTTTAAACTCTATATTCATAATACTTGAACTCTATATTCACAACTGCAGAACTCTATATTCACAGTTACGTAACAGTATATTCACAATTTTTTATGTCGCTGAATTCTTTTGACAAATTTTAAAGAAAAAAAAATCTGATTGGTGGAGGGAAAACGTTGCCACTAACGGCACCATTACTCCCATATTTTTTTTGGTGTTAACCACACATTGTGGTGCGGGTCTTTCTCTGACCGTTTAACGGTCCAGGTTCACCCGGTTCGCTCCGGGAGGCACAGAAGCACCCCCACAAAGAGAGCTCATTTGCCACTTGAGCTACCCTCTTGGGTTTACCATTACTCCCATATTGTAGAACGGCAACGTATTGGACACGTGTCCACCATGCAATTAACTTTACCAAAGTGACTTCTCATCTTCCGTGGCAATAACAATGGTAAGCGCCCATGGCCTAATGGATAAGGCGCTTGACTTCTAATCAAGCGATTGTGGGTTCGTGTCCCATTGTGCGTGTATTAATTAAAAGATAAATTACATGCATGAATTTAGTTCAATGACTTAGTCAGTGGTAGTGTGACATTTGAATCAATGATTATTATCTGTTGAGTCGAGATGACATCTTGCAAAACGACGTGAAAATTTGCTTTCTTTTTCCGTTAACGGTGTTTGTATATGTTCATAGTTATAGAACTTCATATTCATAATTTTTGAACTCTAAAAGTCTATGTTCATAATTACTGAACTCTATGTTCGTAATTTTTTAACTCCGTATTCATAATTTTTAACTCTATATTCACAATTATTGAACTCTATGTTCATAATTATAGAACTTTATGTTCATAATTTTTAAACTCTATATTCATAATTCTTGAACTCTATATTCACAACTGCAGAACTCTATATTCACAGTTACGTAACAGTATATTCACAATTTTTTATGTCGCTGAATTCTTTTGACAAATTTTAAAGGAAAAAAAAATCTGATTGGTGGAGGGAAAACGGTGCCACTAACGGCACCATTACTCCCATATTGTAGAACGGCATCGTATTTGACACGTGTCCACCTTGCAATTAACTTTACCAAAGTGACTTCTAATCTTCCGTGGCAACAACAATTGTAAGCGCCCATGGCCTAATGGATAAGGCGCTTGACTTCTAATCGTCAGTGGTAGTGTGACATTTGAATCAATGATTATTATCTGTTGAGTCGAGATGACATCTTGCAAAATGACGTGAAAAATTGCTTTCTTTTGCCGTTAACGGTGTTTGTCTATGTTCATAGTTATAGAACTTCATATTCATAATTTTTGAACTCTAAAAGTCTATGTTCATAATTACTGAACTCTATGTTCGTAATTTTTTAACTCAATATTCATAATTTTTTAACTCTATATTCACAATTATTGAACTCTATGTTCATAATTATAGAACTTTATGTTCATAGTTTTTAAACTCAATATTCATAATTCTTGAACTCTATATTCACAACTGCAGAACTCTATATTCACAGTTACGTAACAGTATATTCACAATTTTTTATGTCGCTGAATTCTTTTGACAAATTTTAAAGAAAAAAAAAATCTGATTGGTGGAGGGAAAACGGTGCCACTAACGGCACCATTACTCCCATATTTTTTTTGGTGTTAACCACACATTGTGGTCCGGGTCTTTCTCTGTCCGTTGAACGGTCCAGGTTCACCCGGTTCGCTCCGGGAGGCACAGAAGCACCCCCACAAAGAGAGCTCATTTGCCACTTGAGCTACCCTCTTGGGTTTACCATTACTCCCATATTGTAGAACGGCAACGTATTGGACACGTGTCCACCTTGCAATTAACTTTACCAAAGTGACTTCTCATCTTCCGTGGCAATAACAATGGTAAGCGCCCATGGCCTAATGGATAAGGCGCTTGACTTCTAATCAAGCGATTGTGGGTTCGAGTCCCATTGGGTGTGTATTAGTTAAAAGATAAATTACATGCATGAATTTAGTTCAATGACTTAGTCAGTGGTAGTGTGACATTTGAATCAATGATTATTATCTGTTGAGTCGAGATGACATCTTGCAAAACGACGTGAAAATTTGCTTTCTTTTTCCGTTAACGGTGTTTGTCTATATTCATAGTTATAGAACTTCATATTCATAATTTTTGAACTCTAAAAGTCTATGTTCATAATTACTGAACTCTATGTTCGTAACTTTTTAACTCCATATTCATAATTTTTAACTCTATATTCACAATTATTGAACTTTATGTTCATAATTATAGAACTTTATGTTCATAATTTTTAAACTCTATATTCATAATTCTTGAACTCTATATTCACAACTGCAGAACTCTATATTCACAGTTACGTAACAGTATATTCACAATTTTTTATGTCGCTGAATTCTTTTGACAAATTTTAAAGGAAAAAAAAATCTGATTGGTGGAGGGAAAACGGTGCCACTAACGGCACCATTACTCCCATATTGTAAAACGGCATCATATTTGACACGTGTCCACCTTGCAATTAACTTTACCAAAGTGACTTCTCATCTTCCGTGGCAACAACAATTGTAAGCGCCCATAGCCTAATGGATAAGGCGCTTGACTTCTAATCAAGCGATTGTGGGTTTGGGTCCCACTGGGTCAGGGCCGTATTTTAAATTTTGGTGGCCCTGTTCTAGTAAATAAATGTGGCCTACCAAAATCACAATTTTTAAAATTAATACATGTAAGTTTCGAACCTTTGACCTTAAAGTTAAAATACAACAAATACACATTTTTACCATCTCTTCATAGAACCTTTTAAATTTAATTGAAAACTTTTAATTTTTATTTATAAACTAGCTAGGTAAAAATTAAGCATTGGACCTCTAAACTTTGGGGCCCCTCTAAAGTTGGGGGCCCTGTGCGGTAGCCCAGCTTGCACAGCCTAAAATTCGGCCCTGCACTGGGTGTGTATTAAGTAAAAGATAAATTACATGCATTAATTTAGTTCAATGACTTAGTCAGTGGTAGTGTGACATTTGAATCAATGACGTGAAAAATTGCTTTCTTTTGCCGTTAACGGTGTTTGTCTATGTTCATAGTTATAGAACTTCATATTCATAATTTTTGAACTCTAAAAGTCTATGTTCATAATTACTGAACTCTATGTTCGTAATTTTTTAACTCAATATTCATAATTTTTTAACTCTATATTCACAATTATTGAACTCTATGTTCATAATTATAGAACTTTATGTTCATAATTTTTAAACTCTATATTCATAATTTTTGAACTCTATATTCACAACTGCAGAATTCTATATTCACAGTTACGTAACAGTATATTCACAATTTTTTATGTCGCTGAATTCTTTTGACAAATTTTAAAGAAAAAAAAAAAATTGATTGGTGGAGGGAAAACGGTGCCACTAACGGCACCGTTACTCCCATATTGCAGAACGGCGTCGTATTGGACCCGTGTGTCCACCTTGCAATTAACTTTACCAAAGTGACTTCTCATCTTCCTTGACAATGACAATAGTAAGCGCCCATGGCCTAATGGATAAAGCGCTTGATTTCTTATCAAGCAATTGTGGGTTTGAGCCCCACTTGGCGTGTATTAATTATATTATATTGTACGCATGAATTTAGTTCAATGGTCGCATGTGACTCAATGATTATGCTCAGTCGGGATGGCAAAACGACGTCGTGTTAATTAAAAAAAAAAATTATTTTCTTTCCCCGGCGAGGCGTTTGTCTATGTTCATAATTATAGAACTCCATATTCATAATTTTTGAACTCTATATTCATAATTCTTTAACTCTATATATTCACAACTGTAGAACTCTATTGATAGTACTAATTTTCGGTTGTACTCTTGTGTATACCGTATGTATGTAAAATGTATGAACAACTAGAGGAAGTTGAGCAAAGTGAACTTTTTTTATTCATAATTGTTTTCAGAGAGAAGGGAGAGAGTCCTCCTTTTAGAGAGAGAGAGAGTGTGTGGTGTAGGGAGGAAGGGCAAGCCCCTTAAAACGGAGGGCTAAGGCCCCTTTTATAGGCCCAACAGAGACGGGTTTGACTTTGACCCGTTGACCTCGACCTGAACCGTTCGTCCCGATCCAAACAGGTGCACGGAGCATACGGGCAGCCTGAATCCGAGGTATATTCCCCATCATCTATATTCACAATTACGTAACAGTATATTCACAATTTTTTATGTCGCTGAATTCTTTTGACAAATTTTAAAATATATATATTAAAAAAAATGATTGGAGGAGGGAAAACGGTGCCACTAACGACATCGTTACTCCCAAATTGCAGAACGACATTGTATTGGACCCGTGTCCACCTTGCAAGGTGGACACGGGTTCATGGCATAACAGTCCCGTGAGGCAAATTATATTGTGTACCATCCCTGGCCAAAACGACGTCATTTTGTATCTGTTTTTTTTTTTTAGAAATTCTGTTTCCCGTTTCTGCCGTTAACTTTTAATAAAAACAAATTAAAAAATTCTCATGTTTCGAATGTACAGAATTGTATAGTAAAATACACATAAACTCATAACATAATACACATAATCTAACATAATACATATAGTACATAATACACATAAACTCTTAACATAAAAAACGACATCGTTTTGACAGGGCGCACAATGCATTGTGCGCCTTGGTGCACGATGACGATTGAACTCGTTACTGGAACATAATTCTCATACAAGAGGTCATGAATTCAATTATTGCCAACATTTTCTCAGTGTCTTTCTAACGCGATTTACCTCTAAGCTCAACAAGGTCTTTCTAGCGCGATTTACCTCTAAGCTTGACAAGGTCTTTCTAGCGCCATTTACCCTCTTGTATGATTTACGGACTATTACACAGGAACATAGTTTATTCTGTGTACATCCTTAAATATTGATTGCGAGTTTCACTCATAAAAAAATAAAAATAAAATAAAAATAAAAATAAAAATAAAAACTTTTCTAGACCAAATATTGGGGGATGGATACAAATTATTAATAAATTATTGATCAAATAAAGCCATCAATTTCTCACCATCATTAGAAAATGTGCAAGAAAATCTGGGTTGGTGAGTGGACTTTTTTGGTTGATCATTAACTGCCCCCATCCCTTTCCTATGTCTGAACGGTCCAATGTAACAGTACATAATCTGCCCAGGTTGTTTAACGCCGGTCAAACATTGTTTTCTGCTTTCTTCTAACATTTCCCATTAACCTTAGCTTTGTACCAACGTTTCTCAAAGCTGTTCAACCAAATTTACCTAAATAGCAGGACAACACTTCTTTCACCCATTCCCAAAAATAACTTGCATTTATCAAATACCAACCCCATGACTGAAGTGTCAAGGTGGTGGGATCGGAGACTGGGACGGAAAAGAGATGATGATAAAAATTTATGAGACACAAGATAATGTTAAAAGTGAACATTTTTACAATTAGAAACGTTTTTCCAAAACTTAGTATATTTAGTATTATGTTTTTATATTTAGTATTATGTTTTTCTCTTTGTTCCATTTCTTATTTCCATGCTACCTAAATAGAAGCAAAAGGGAGGTTTTTTTTTTTTTTTTTTGATGACGAGTGAAAAATCGTAACCATTATTCGAGGGTATATATTGGGTAAATCTTACCTTGTAACCTTAATTGGCAAAGAACTACAAGGAGGTAAATCAACCAAGGTTGCCCATAGCTGATCAGTTCAAAACCTCAAATCAATAAGGTTAATAGGCTGTTCCCACTAGAGTCAAACTTGGAACTTTGTGATAGTTATCAAGCCAATAGTCCAACTTGGCTAAAGTTGCCTGAGGGGAGGTGATGTTGGTGTTCATATAAAGCCAATTCCATACTTTCTCAGTAAGAATCAAACCCTACACTCTGCGACTGACTATTAATGAAAATAATTCATAATACTCAGTTCATTATTACAATGTTTATAAAGATGTTACAGAATTCTGAAACTTATTCCACATGCTACAGAAAAAAGGAATCAAAGCCAAAGACTTATAAGCTCTAAGGAATGGCTGTTGAGATGCCTTTTCCAACCCAAATTTTGTTTCAGTTTTATGGATCAAAATATTTACAATGAAATACTGTTTCTATGTGCAGACAATGAACAACTAAGTACAAAGATGTGAACTTTATGAGAAAAACAAATGGGAATGAAAAGAATTCTGCTAGCCTGAATTGAAGCTGGAAGTGAAACTTAGGTTGTCAAGCCACGAAACTAGCTGCTGTGTCGATGGCCTTATCTTTGGCGATTCGTGCAAGCAGAGGCAAGCGATCTCGAGGACCCATAGCATCTCGTCACCGTGTTGCTTATCGTACACCAAGGGATCGAACACTTCGGTTTGCCTCTTCTCCTTCTTCATTTGGATCACCCACGAGATTAGGTCCCGACTTCCTTTTGGTTTGCACATGTCCATTGGCCTTTTAGCGGTGAGAAGCTCCAAAAGAACGACCCCGAAGCTATACACGTCGCCTTTGTAGGTAGCTACCGAGGCTTGGCAATACTCGGGAGGGATATAGCCTAAAGTCCCCACGACATCGGTGGTCACATGAGTGTCGTAGGGAAGAATGAGCCTAGCTAGGCCAAAATCAGCTAAGTGAGCTTCGAAATTTTCATCGAGAAGGATATTGCTCGACTTTATATCCCGGTGTAGTATATGAGGATCGCACGCTTGGTGCAAGTAAGCCAGCCCTCGGGCCGCCCCTTGAGCAATCACAAGCCGCTTATCCCAACTCAGCAAGGACGGTCCATCGACTTTCTCGTGCAACCAATAGTCCAAGCTCCCATTCTCCATGTAAGAATATATCAATAGCCTGTCGGTCTTATACCTGCAGTAGCCTTGAAGAAGGACGAGATTCGGATGCTGGGCTCTCGAGAGCGCTTCCACTTCCGCTTCGAATTCTCGTTCCATCTCACCATACTCGCCTGTTAGCCGCTTGATGGCAACCTTCCTCCCATCGTGGAGGATCGCCTTGTAGACCAAACCGAACCCCCCACATCCAACGATGTTCGATTGATCAAAGTTGTTGGTGAACTTGAGAAGATCATTGAGTGTCACGTTGTCTTTGTGCTGGAAAAATATCACGAGACTCGAGCCTGATTCGTCCAATTCCTTCTCGTTAACCTCGTTTTCGGGATCGACTACTCTCCGGGTACTTGCACGTAGAACAATCAAGAACATAAGAGTAAGAAGAAACACGGTTCCTAGAGCAATCCCGATTCCCATTCCAATTATAGTCCCTCGAGGCCGCTTTGCTCTCCTTGCTGATCCATGTGGAAAATTATCGTTACGTTCACAACGAGTAGTACTATGTTCACCACAGAGACCGGCGTTCCCCTCGAAGCTAGAATTCGTGAAGGTTGAGAACTGGCCTCCGGTAGGAATTTCCCCCGAGAGTTTATTGAAAGCCACACTGAACTTTGACAGGAAACTACAATTAACCAATGAAGGCGGGATTGTTCCGACCAGATCGTTGTGAGACAGATCCAATGTTTCTAAGCTCGTCATACCCGAAAGACTACTAGGAATCGTTCCAGATAAATTGTTGCATTTCAGATCGAAAACATGTAAACATTTCAGGTTCCCAAACTCGGGCCAGATCTCTCCCGTGAGATAATTGTTACCAAGTTCCAAAGTCGGGGGGAGGCTCCAAATCTGATTATACTGCAACCCTCCAAGACTCACGTTTCGTTTCACAAAGAAAGGAAAGTCTAGTGACGAATTCTCAGATGAGATATTATTAAAGATGAGACTCTTCAGTCCTGTAAGTTCCTTCGGGATATCCCCGCTGAGCGAGTTGTTAGACAGGTCGAGATAAAAGAGAGAGCCGAAATCACCAAACCAAGGCGGGATCGTTCCTTCTAAACGATTCCACGACAAATCCAACAGCTGCAGCTTGCTCGAGCCTCTCAGCCACTGGGGAACGAATCCCGTGAGCCTGCAATTGGCAATTACAAGAGCTTTCAGCTCCGCAAACTGCAGATTAGGATCAGAAGGCAACCGTTCATCACGGAAATTCAATGTGAGGACCAAAGTAGTCAGGTTTCGGCAGTGCTGCAAGATTTCGAGGGCAGCTGAAACATTAGAAATGCTGGAATTCGAGAGGGAAAGCGAGGAGAGGCTCTGGAAGTTCTTGAAACTTTCCGGGACTTGCCCAGCAAGGCTGTTCCTACCAAGATTAACAGTTCTCAATCTCGGGCAATCAGGAAGGTTTTCGGGAATCAACCCACGGAACTGATTATTAGCAACATCAAGACTCTCGAGACTAGTCATTGCAGAACAATTAAGATGAATAGTACCACTCAAGGAATTATTTCTCAAAGTGAGCACACGTATAGTCCGAGAATTCGCTATAGACAGAGGTATACTACCAGCAAATAAATTCGAGTGAGCAGAGAAATATGTTAAGTTTCTAAACCTATGAAACACATCTGGGATAGCTTCTGAGAACTCATTTAAGCATAAATCCAAATACTCAAGATTAGAGAGGTTACCAATTAGGGGATTAAACTGCCCAGAGAATCTGTTCTGTTGAAGATTCAAACTTGCTAATCTTGGCAGCTTGAAGAGATCATCAGGTAAAGTGCCAGACAGAATATTTGCACCCAAACAAAGATTCTCCAATGAAGAGCAATCCCCAAGGCCTATAGGAACAGACCCACTGAAGTTATTGGCACCCAGTTTGAGGACAGAAATCTGGGTTGAATTCTTGCAAATACCCACAGGAATTGACCCAATTAAAGAATTGTCAGAGACATTGAGAACTTGAATAGCAGGCAGGTTTAGAGTGCCCGGAAATGGACCGGAGAATTGATTGCTGGTCAAATCTAGGACCTCCAAGTGAGGGAGATGAAATAGTGAGTCCGGGAGGGAGCCATGGAAGAAATTGTGGGAGAGATTGAGGGTTCTAAGCTGCTCCAAATTGCCTATAGATTCTGAAACTTTCCCATTAAGCCTCCTTTTCCCAAGGTCCAATTTGATCACCCTTCCATAGTTTGAGGGCTCATTTAATCCAAGAGATAAAGAAGACTGGCAAGTTATCCCAACCCAGTTGCAGCAATTGGGAGAAGAAGAAGAAGAAGAATTTCTCTCCCAGCCATCAACACCAGACTCCAGTAAATCCAAGAACCCCTCCAGAGCTCTCAAATCCACCGGATTACATGTCAGCTTCTGGGGATTCTGGGCCTGAGATTCTGCAGAAACCCCAAGAAGAATGAAAATCACACAAAGTATCACCAAACCCATCTCTTCTTCCCAAAAAAGCTCAAATCTTTTTCACCAAAACTCCTCCTTTCTCAACATTTCGCCCCAAGATCAACTCAAAACACACAAAGAACAGAAGCTTTGGGTAATTTGGCTTCAGCCCGAAGAAGAAGAAGAAGTTAAAAAGGAAAAAAAGATTGAGGAGAAGCAGGAATGAAGGAAGAGAATTAGAATATTCCCTTCAACCTTCGTTTAATGGTCTAAATAGGAGACGGCTGACGCTGCGTTCTGCTCTCCAAATTGAAGACTTTTGTAGAGAGAGAGAGAGAGAGAGAGAGAGAGAGAGTATGAACTATGAAGAAGCCGTTGGGAGGGAGAGGTTGAATATCTGTTAAACATAATTAATTTATAAGAACAGTCATCATCTTCCTCAGCCGATGGTAGTGGGAAATGGGAATAGTTTCCATTAATCAAAAGCAATTTTATAAACAAAATTTTTGTAATCTTTTGTGCGAAGTCTTCTGAAAAAGTTTCTTCCAATCTTTTGTTATTTAAGCAACAAGTTGACTGCTTTCCCCACTCTTCCTATAAGCCTTGCCTCAACCATTGCAGGTTCACTTAATTTTAATGTTTATCCGTAATATATCTTTTTAATTCTTGAAATTAAGATTATAAAGAATTAAGTCATCAATTTTTATGGTTGGGAACTTTTAATCAGGATGAAATAAAATTTTACAATGTTAAATAATATATATAAATTTCTTACAAACTACCATGTAGTGTAATAGATATCGGTTATTATAAGTTTAAACTATGATGGTGGGTTGAGATATTTTTTTTTTAAGCTCGAACTCACAACCTCTCATATGAGAGTCCAAATTGGATGTCATTAGACTACAAGGTCTTGACATGGGCTTAGATTCTTTGGTTAAAAATGTTTTAAAAAGTGTAAACATATATTATCTTGTAAAGAATTATGAGTATTTCAAAAAATTTATATATAAATTCTTAAGTTTTGTTTTGAAGTGCTTTAACTTTTTGATCAAAATCGGACTTTTCAATATTTCATAAATGCTAAAATTAAAATTATTATTTTATTTATAAAAATTGTCATCATCCATCTCTGTTTTGTAATAGTTATTTATTTTTCTGTGTGTATGGACTGAAGTACTAAAATTAAAATTAAATTACTTGTTAGATTTTTATTTGTGATTTTAAAAATTTTTAAACTTTGACTAATATTTTTTAAAAAATATGACTAATTTTGTGACATAATAATGGAATAAACATCCCTCGTGAGTTTTGTTTAATTTTGAATTTCTGTCCGAATCAAAAATAAAATCTAATGACATGTTCAATAGTATCGAAACTATTAAAGTTGAGGTACTCATTTTGTCAAAATTTAAAGTCAAATAATTAAAACATGAAACAAATATTGTTGAGTTTACTCAACATGCACCATCAGTTAATAGCTATGGGTTTCTCTAGTCAATAACAACAAAAATCCTTCAAAATTTGAAATGATTTTTAGATTTTGGATGAACAATATATGTTACTTTGGAAAAAAAAAAACAATTAAAAAAAATTAAATGAACGCTTGTAAACATGTTTTTTAAGTTTAAAAATAGATAATAAAAATTGAAAATTGAAAAATGGGGCCAATTTTACAAACTTTGATTTTGGCAATAAGTTGGTATAACCAATAACTACACCTTAAATGCAGTGAATATGACACTGATAAATGTTTATTATTTTGTACTTCTCTGGTTGATATTTTATTTTTTAGCATTCTAAATGATGTAAATCACAATGATTCAATGACTTAGCAAACAAGGTCAAATATTGATGTGAAATCTGTCCACTTTGAACCACCATTGAAGTTCAAATATTAGTCTCTTGTCTCAAATAACTGTCTACTAAACCATTCAGTTAAGTTCGTGCAGACTTTCTGGTTGATATTTACATACAGAACACACTGTATTTGATGGACGCACATAATCTCAGATATTACGTTTATATACAAAAGAAATTACATTATTAAAATCCTATAACACTCATCATTAAGAATTTTTATACCATACGTCATGGTTCACCTTACAAGGTGAATCAAATTACAAAAAATTTCAATTTTAAATAACACATCATTAATAATAAATTGCAGTAATATGATTTTTTTAATATATAGATTTCACATAAGTACTCTAACCCAAGCATTAAGGATAAGTATTATAGGTTTTCAAAAAAAAAAAAAAAAGGATAAGTATTATAGGATTTTTTTTTTTTTTAATTTGGTTTGGTAAATTTTAAGAAAATGACGATGGAATATAAGACTTATTTAAAATTATGTGTTTATACTTTATACTATTAGATTATAAAGCATTTGGGGTAAGATTATAAAGCATTTGATATCTAGATTCTAGATTACGGGCAAAATAATTTATTATTAATAATTGAAAAAGAAGATAATAATTAGATTACAGTAGTACAAATAGAATTATTATAATACAATATAAATGCTTAAAGATTTAATTTAGTCATCTTATATATATATAATAAAGCCATATGGTCTTGTGAAAATTAAATGGTGATCATCAACATTTAATTTTCACAAGTCCATAATAATATTGTTAATTATAATAACAATAACAATAACAACAATAATAATAATAATAATAATAATAATAATAATAATAATTGCAATAATAATAATGATAATATATATATATATATATATATATATATATAACCATATGGTCTTGTGAAAATTAAATGGTGATCATCAACATTTAATTTTCACAAGACCATAATAATATTGTTAATTATAATAACAATAACAATAATAATAATAATAATAATAATAATAATAATTGCAATAATAATAATGATAATAATTTTCACTGACAGTTTCTAATATATATATATATATATATATATATATATATATATATATATATATATTTATTTATTTATTTATTTATTATATTTATTTATATTTCAATTTCTACTGGCAAATTATTGTGTGAACGATGGTCCACATAATTATAGGGATCATGAATATCAAATACATTTTTAATATATTAAAAATACATTATTTTTATATTGAAAGTACTTTACATACATATATAATGTACCCTTAGTAATTTAAAATATACTTTTTATTTCATGCAACCTCAAAGTTCATAAGTTTGAAATTAATATATGGCATAGCTAGGCGGCCTAATATTTAAGATTGTTGATGTGCATATTGAGGACTACGGAGACAAAGATGCGTTATTCGTGGATTCATCGGATACTATCCAACAACACTCTCCAACTTAATTGACATGAAGTAGGCTTAGTAACATTAAGATTATATTCTCGAATTATTAGCTCTCATTTTTTATTGATTACACACTTAATTCGATAGTATTTGGAAGAAAAAATCAATGTTCAAACTAAGATTGTGATTTTGGTCTTTAAAGGTCAATTGTACGTTGCTACATCTAGAGTTAGAAATCTCAAAGGTCTAAAAATTTTTATCCGTGGTGACTCTAAAATTGTAATTCAGTTACTATTGTAGTTTACTAAGTTTTTAAAAATTTGTAATATTAAATACTATGTACTAAATTTTTAATATAGTTTAAGATTTGTAGTAATCACCTACCTTAAATATTATTTTAATTGTAAATATATTTATGTTCATAATTTTATCATAGGAATTCACACATAATAATTATTAAATAACAAAAATTTTATATATGAATAAACCTCATATAGGGTATATTTTTATAACATATTTTCCGTGCATCGCACGGGACAAATACTAGTCATATTAATATTACTATATATTGCGAAGTCAATTTTGTCATTTTTAATTAATTTTAATTTATATTTTCAATATTTTGATTAATTTGATCATTTTAATATCAACATTATCAAGTATTGTTGGTAGTGGCGTAAGTTACTCGAAATACTAAGCTTAATTTGACTAATGTTCGAATTTGAACTCACATATTGTTTGAGTAATAAATTAAATTGAACTTGAACATTTTAACACTAGAATTTAGTCGAATTGTCTCTTCAAAAAGAATTTAGTCGAATTGAATTTCAAAGGAGGGGTAAATCGCATGATGTGCTTCAACTAGCCGACATGCTCCAAATGTTTTACATCAGTGTTCACAACAAAACTAAGGCTGCATTTGTAAATCAAGAAATAACTTCTAAAAAATATATTCTAAAAAATGACTTATTTTCCATAAAATATTTTATTTTCCAGTGTTTAATTACATTTTAGAAAAATGTCTCGATGCATGTGTTTGATTCATTTTGCAGAAAATGAGCAAAACTGTATAATTAAAAAAAAATGGTTTCATACAAAAATTTTAAAAAATGAACAATAGTAAATGGTTTCATTAAAAAAGGAAAAAAAAAAATTGAAACTATATCTGATTTCTGGCTTCGAACTGATTTTTGACGGCTGATTTTTCTAGTATGAAGATGGGGCATTAGCAGGTGAAAATGACTTCAAAACAAAACAAAACAAAAACAAAAACAAACACAAACACAAAAAGAAGAGGAGGAAGTCATTTCTCAAAAAATTAACTTTGTTTTCCATTGACAGCAAATTAATTTCTATAAGTTTGTATCGACTCTTTTAGACTACGCTAATAAGAGAAAGTATAAAACAGATACTATCTTGTAATAGAGTCAAAACATATTTTAAATGTGGTGATTCGTTCAACTAATTCAATATTCCCACGTGGAGAGGGGATGAATGTGAGAGAGTCAAAAGGGTTGGGTATGACACGTGCACAGGTGCAGGTGGGCTTCTGCGCCGGGCCGCCTCTGACAACCTTCGACGCTTCAATTCGCCGGCTTCCGGTAATTACTTTAACGGCCTATTTCCGTCTCCGACACACAAATTTTACATCATCTCTTTGAATATATTGATGTGCGTAAATATCGGTGCGTGTATTCTTTAGTCATATGAATATTGTGAATATTATTATTTTTATGTTCCTACAAATTCTTGTGAAAATACGTTCAAAACCCATCAACCCATGCAAGGCTGCAACGTAACTTTATTCACGCAAACATTCACGACTTTTTTATGTGAAGATTCTATTATAATTACGAGAATAATTTAATTACTTTTTTGGTCATATTTTATATGTCTAATTCAATTAATAATATTATATATATATATGTCACACTTGTGTAAGACTGTCTCACGAATTCTTATTAATGAGAGTATGAGACAGGTTAAGTCGTGTTAATATGAAAATGTAATATTTATATTGAAAAATGCAATACTAATTAAGAATAAAGTTTTTGTTATTTGTTTTCAAAAAAACAAAATGTTTGTTATTTATGAAAAAAATGTAATACTTTTGAAAACAAATGTAATATTTTTATATTTTGATGTAAAAATATTACATTTTTCAA